GGGGGGGGGGGGGGGGGGGGGGGGGGGGGGGGGGGGGGGGGGGGGGGGGGGGGGGGGGGGGGGGGGGCGGGAAGGAAGGGGTGGGAAACTGAATGCTCGGAACAAATTTTACGGAGGATGTATACGTGCATCGTGTTCGTCGCCTCCGTGATATGAGACTACGCATCGGGGAAGAGAGATAGAGAAGAGCAAAAACAAAATGAGCTGTTCATACCGTCGGGGGGAGGGGGGCGAAGTTGACGAGCTCGCAGAGTAGTCGGTAGGACCACCGCCGCTCAATGTGGCTGCAACAAAAGAACGAAAACAGGGTTTGTTTCGCCGTGTTACAAGCTTGCAGGTAACTAGAGTAAACTGAACAACTGGCGTTGTAACGGGAGCCGCAGAGGTCAACAAACATGAGCAACATCAACGAGGACCACGACCACGACGGCGTTGACAAGAAAACGAAAAGACACGACATGACTTGAGCAAATCGGTGAATCTTGGTAAACTCAACGCAAAGTACAGTCCGAAATCCGTCGCAGCAGGATGTTATCGCTGCGGGAGAGCGGACCACCACTAAAACCTCCTTGTCCCAAACGCGCGCACCTGTCGTTGCCGCCGCGTGGAAAACAGCGCAACGACACCTCCTTTGCCCCCCGCCGCCAGCAACGGCGGCAAAGCTGCCGCTCCCCTTCCACCGCCACCGCCGCCCGCGGCCTTTGCGCCACAAAAATGCATTGTGTAGATCGTGGAAAGCCCGGATGCGGACAGCGGGTAGTCAGGATCGATAACTCGCAGACCCACGACCGTCGCCCCTGCTGATGCTGCCCCTGTACCTGCCCGTGCAGCTGCAGTTTGGGCGGCGGCGGCGGCGGCGGCTGTGTTTGGCGCTTCGGCCGAACTATCGTTGCCACCCCCATCCTTATCGTTAGCCTCGGTCCCACAAAGGTACTTGAAGACGGTGGAATCATCGAAGTCGATCTCCTCGAGGATAGGTTCGGGCTCTGCTGGCGCTGCCGCGGCTGCTCGCGCCGCTGTCGCAATGGCGTTGATTGCCTGCTTGTCCTGAAAGCAATAGAGCGGCGGGGGTGGGGGGGGAGGTTAGTGTGGTAGGGTTTCGGGGAACAACTAGCGGGTACAGAGAGCGAGCAACACAAGACCAAGCAAAACAGCCGTTTCAAATAAGTGCGGAACACCGTCGCATGCTTCCAGACCCAAGCCCGTCCTGACGCGACCAAACACTTCTCTGCAGGGTGTGCGTAATGCGCAACGGTCTAATAATCTGGCGAAACGTCTTCTGTGGTCGCAGAGCATGTACGTGTCCCTGGAGCATTTCAACCTTCGCTGGCAATGTTGAGTGGATGGGCATAGCAGGGCGGCGGGCGGGCGTACGGAACCGGTGTAGAGCTAGGAAAAAGACCAAATTTTGATCCGAAAGGTAGGCCTGGTCTTCACGGAACAAGCACTGGAAGAGACGAAGAACCCACAAGGACAGCAGCAGCAACATCAACGACATCAACAACAGCCAACAACAAGAAACTTTCACACCCACGCCGCGTAATCCCCCCCCTCTCACCTCGTTGTAGTCCACAGCCTCGGCTCCCCTGGCCCTAGCAGACCGGCGAACCGGCACCACCGTAGAAGCTTTCTCCCGGGAACGACTCACAGGCCTGCTCCTGTTCTTGTTCTGGCTGCGTCCCTTCGTGCCTTCGCTCCAAGTCGCGGCGGAGGCAGCGAGGGGTTTGGCGGTCGCAAGCCCGAGCGTGGCCATGAAGGCTTGGTTTCTCTTGATCCGTTCCAAGCGCTCCAGCTCGTACTGGGAGATGACTCCCGCCCGCGCCCCGCCCGCTTCTTTCATATTCCCTGGTGATTTCCTGCTGATCTTCTCGAGTTCGTCTCGCTCATCCTCGCTTAGTTCATCCTTCCCTCCTTCCTCCGCGTTGCCACCCTCATCCTCGCCACCTTTCAGTGGCGGGGTCCGCGCGTCGGAGAATGGCAAGCCCTTGTCGACGCACGCCCCCTCACCGTCAGTGTTTTCGCTAGCGTTGCTTGCGTCGCTTCCCTCTCCTTCTTTTCCTCCCCTTTCTTGGCCATTGTTGTTTGGTTCCGATCCCTCACGCTGCAGTCCATTCATTCAGCATTCAGAGGAGCATGACAACCCGTTCGTCCGCACAAAGCAAGGAATGACGAATAAACACTGGTGTCGTGAACAACGGGGGTCTACTGTCATGGTTTGTTGGTGGTGATGCTGGTACTGGTGTTGATATCGAAGTTGTTATTGTTGTTGCTGATGTTCCTGTTGGTGCCGATGCGCATGCTAGTGATGTTTCTACATGAGGGCGGTTGCTCTTCCTGTTGCCGTTGCCCTCCCCACGTTGGGTCGTCTCCAAAAGTGAGCTGTGGTCAGAAAAGAAGGAACCCAAAAACTATTCTTCTCGCGCCAGAACCCAAAACGCAAGGGAGCTACGGTGCCGCCGACAGCTCGACATGAAACATGAGTCCAACGCCACCTTTCTACGTGACCGAGCTTGTGGATTGAATGGGCGAGACGAATCGGTCCAACGGAAAGGGAGGTTTGGCGATGCGACGTTGAGGACGGCAGTCATCATTTGCCACCACACCGCGTGTACTCTGGTGCGGAGCGTCAATAAGACGCAATCCACACGGAAAATTTGCATGGAACACATCTGTTTCCCAGGACCCGACTCCCGGCCCCTCCTCAAACTTCACCAAAATCCAGCCGAACGAGTAAACAAATCAACTTACCTTGCCATCCTTCTTTCTCAACCTACTGGTGTACTCTGGATTTCCGGGCGGGGGCGGTTCGGGACCCTCCACCACCACTTCCTCCTCCATTTCTTCGACGGTGTGGTCGTCTCTCCGGTTTGCCTCTGACGACCTTTTGCCACAGGATCCGCCCACGCAACTGCGTTTGGTCGGCCGTGCTTCTCCCCCAGGCAGCACCGCCGGGCTGGTCTCGCTGTCCGTCTCGGGGGACGGGGCATCAGAGTCCTCGCAGCTGGCGGGTGCGAGAGCCGCCTTCCTTCTTCTCGGTTTCATCTTGGAGCTCGGCGTGTTGGTCGCGGCCGCGGCGGCGGCGGGATTGCTGCTGTCTCCGCCCCCCCCGTCGTGGCCTTTGAGTGCTCTCCTTGGCCGCTGCCGTTTCTCCGGCTCGGGGGCGCGTGCGACCGATTCTATTGGCGCCGACGGAGCTGCTGCGTTTTTAAGAAAGACAAACAGTCAAAGAGAGAGTACCCGTTCCAGATGAAACCACAGTACCGCAGGTTGCATAAGATATCACACTTTCATTATATACCACACCCCTTCAGAAAACGTACACAATACCACACCCGTGTGCTATTTTTTTCAGCCCCCCAAAAAACGTCATTTTATCACACGGTGACACAAGATACCACACCACCTGAAGTTGGGCCGCATTAAATCGACGGAGCCCCCGCTTATCACACGGTGTGATAACGTGAGGACAGAGATCACAACCACACCACCTGCTCGCAAGAGCCATGGAGGCGGACAATGTCGTGGAGGGTGGTGCAGTTAACAACCCGGCTGAAAGCCCCGCGGCTCAGACTGCAGTGGGCAAGACTCCAGCGGCGGCCCCACGCTCTATAGCGTCCTTCTGCCAACCCCCCCCGGGAGAACGTGGGGCTGCTCGGACGACTCCCTCAGAAGCCGCACATGACACCGCACGTACTGCTGAGGCCCGCTCAACAGAATCTACTGCTACTGAGACTCCCACAGCACCGGCTACGCCGGCCACCGCGGGGGCCGCTGAAACCTGCGAAGCAGAACCTACTGCTGCGGATTCCGCAGCACCCACACCCACACCCGAAAAGGCAGCTCTCCCGCCAACCACCAACACCCTGAGCGCGGCTACTGCTGAGAACCCTGCAGCAGCACCGCGCTGCGGAGAACCATCGTGCACCAACAAGCCCTTCTGGGCGCTTCGTCACGGAGGAATCGACGGTGCAACGAGCAGTGCGCCTTCGAAGCCACCTCTGTTGTTCAAGGAGGAGCAGAGCTCAGTATGGATGAAACTGCTGTGTGGATGGAGCCCGCTGGCACGTCGACCGTGGCGATGAGTTCAAATAGTGTTGCTTCGAATCATGTGCCTGTCTGGTCGTTTCTTCGCATTCCGTGCAAACAGTGGGCATTGTGATGCCACATTTCTTGCCGCATACCTACTCAGTGTCCAGCCAGTAAGGCTAGACGACATTGGTATTGTGCTTATGCCGGGTGACAATCTTCTTACCATTCGTTTCGATCATGACTGTACTGCAAAACCTATACGTCACTTTGTGCGTGAAGAGCTGTCATTCTCATCTACAAAATCGACTTTTTTCGTCGCCTCTGCTTTCTCTATTGCTTTTTTCTTTTTATTTTTGTCGTTCGCAGCACACCGGTCAGAAAGAGGTGGCCATCAAAACCGGTGGAAAGGAAAAGTTGCGGATCACTGCCGTGCTTGCAGCAAACATGAAGGGCGGCAAACTCCCGCCGCTGCTCATCTTTAGGGGTAAGCCTACGGCGCCGGGTATAACCCCCGCTGCCAACAGCATCGAACGAGAGTTCAAGGTGGGCAAGGACAAGAAGGGGATAGCATACCCTCAGAGCGTTGTGTACGCCGTGGACGATAAGGCGTGGCACACACAGCGCGTCTTCAGGGATGTTTGGCTCCCCCAAGTGTGGAACCGGCGCCCGAGTCGCGATGGGGTCCTGGGCAACTACCGTCAGCCGGACACACTGCTATCGTGGGACGACTACACCGTGCACAAGACAGCCCTGTGCAAGGAAGCGATGGACAAGTCCAACACGACGCTGTTTTTCGTCCCCCGAGGCCTAACGCCCAAGATCCAGCCTTACGATGGACTTATCAACAAGCTGTTCAAGTCCAACATGTCCAGGCCGTACGACAACCATATGGCCTCCACCGACGCCATGCGCAACGACCGCGGCTACCTGGATCCCCCATCGAGGGGATTGCTCGCGCAGTGGGTGAAGAAAGCGTGGAATGAAGTGGACCCTGAGAGCATTCGTTCGAGCTGGAGGAAGGCTGGCATGACCCTTGCCTTCGATGGATCTGAGGAAGAGGCGTGGGCCAACAAGGAGCTCAACTCCGACGCCCAAGGGAAACCACTTCGTGCAGACGGCGACGCGGCCGCTGCCGGCGTGGAGGAGGCTGGCCCATCGGAGGAGGGGGAGACGATGGCCGATTTGTTGGAGGTGTAGGAAATCGATGACGATGACAGCTCTGGAGATGGCGAAGGCAACGATGACTCGGAGGTTGAGGTCATGGCAGACTTGCCGGGGGCGGACGTTGATTGCATAGACTGGTATCTACCTACCGTAGTTGCATGCCATGGTCAAGTCAACCAAAGCTGCTATTAGAGCCAATTTGTCCTGTGTTTCATATATTTCGGTAGTCGCTTGTCCTCTTGGGTCTAGCTTTGGTTGACATGTAGCCGGCACTTGCTTGCGTCCTATGTGGTTCCAGCTTGAGTGGTGAACGCAAGTCTTGCAAGTGGTTGCGTCGTCCAGGTACCTGTGTGCTGTCGTTTTGTCGCACGCAACACCGGCACAACCACTATGAGGTATCGGTGCTACGTCTTCGTTGTGCACGTATGCGAAGAATTTCCAAAGGACACTGCGAAAATGCACGTGGGAAAGCATGAACGTGATGGAGTGGTGTGAGCCACCCTACCTATCACACCTGTTTTACACCCCTTCACGCCCTTTGTAGGTGGGTGCCTCCTTTGAGCGCACTGCATCACTCGGGCGACATTATTATCACACCCCCGTAGGTACCCTCGAGGCAGTTACACAGTGTTTACAACTGTCTCTGGAAGTGAAAGCACCAGAAAATAAATTAAGTCATACGCAGCTGTCATCCGTACGCAAGGAAGCAAGCACAAGATGCCCAAAACTCTTAGCAGCATGCAGCGCACCCTTCATGCGACTCGCCGAATATCTCACGGCGCTTCGCGCTTGGTGATGTGAGAGCCTGGTCCGGTGAGAACCCGGCGTGCTCCGTCCCGGCTTTTTGTAAAACAAGCTAATTCACTTCGTGAACTCGGCAACCAGGTTACCGTCTTTTACCTTTTTTTTTTACCCCTGTTTTTTTTTTTGGCGGTAACCATAATGGTGGTCGAGTAGATCATGTTGTGCGGGGTGGAGAACCCTCACTCCGCGCAAGGGGGATGATCGCACCACGTTGTGTTAAAATGGTCAAGCACCCTCGAGGCAGTTACACAGTGCTTACAACTGTCTCTGGAAGTGAAAGCACCAGAAAATAAATTAAGTCATACGCAGCTGTCATCCGTACGCAAGGAAGTAAGCACAAGATGCCGAACACCCTTAGCAGGATGCAGCGCACCCTTCATGCGACTCGCCGAATATCTCACGGTGCTTCGCGCTTGGTGATGTGAGAGCCTGGTCCGGTGAGAACCCGGCGTGCTCCGTCCCGGCTTTGTAGGGATGCGAGGTCAATGGTCTAACGACTACGGCATGCACGACTATGAGTACACCCCCCATGAGTACACCCCCTGTAAGCCGGGTCCTGTCAGGGCGCTTCATCACACGGGCGACGGTATCACACCCCATTGTTATCACACCCCCTGTTGTTGGGACTCTGTGAGTGCACTTTATCATACGGGTGACATAAGATATCACACCCCCTACAGAATACAACACCCGTGTGATAACTTTTGTCCCCCCGAAAATGTTATCACACGGGTGTGGTATCTTATGCAACCTACGGTAGTCGAAGGGGGTTGTTCGATGGTTTGGCCTGGTCGCTCGTTGTTGCGGCATGGGCAACCCAGGGGTGGATGGGACTGGTTTCTGAGCCGCTGTGTCGGAGAGGGGTTTCTGAGAAGAATCGGAGCGAGCCGGACCCAGGCTGACACGTTTCGACTTATCATGGTTTGCAGGAAAGGAAAAGCCTACTGGCCCTACTTGTACTTGCTTTGGAGGGGACGATGGCAGCGGCCTAACCCCACTGAAATGCGGCGTATGATGTGCTGTGTCAAAAAAAACACGCGCTCTGCATCATCACCATCCCAGGTACTGCCCCTACTCTCTGCCGTGGTACAAGTCATGCTCAAGCAGTCACAGCGTGCGTCAGGTGTGCATTCTTCGTTGCACTGGTGGGCCAAGCAATGGCTTGCACAACACGAGTATGACCTACCACGCGACGCAACACACACTACTCTGTATGTACATGTTTGACAAGTGCGGGTGATGTCCACAAGCGGCAACAACGTCTTCAGGCCTGCCCATGAGCAGAGTTGCAAGAATGGCATCGGAGAAACAGAATACGGTGGGGTATACGCAGCAGAAACACCCACCAGCTGTTAGGTCCATCGCCGCGGAAGCCTCCTTCTCCTTTCTAGCGATGGCCTTCCTTCGCCTCGCCGTTGCCTTCGCTGTCCCGCCGGTAGCTGCAGACCGGGCACCATCACTTGCCTGCCGGGGCTTGGCCTTTGTTTTCTCCTTCCCTGCCGCAGACGAAGGCGCGGCACTGCCCCCTTTGCCAAAGAAGCTGAGAATGGAAGGCTGCAGGGTGTTGGGGAGGGACAGCAAGGGCATGGTGGGGAGGGTCAGGGCGCTTGTTTGTTCTCCCTCTCCGTTACGAGAATAGCAACTAATCACATGATCTTGCGTCTTGCATGTACAAACGCATCTAAAACAATCGATATTCGGCCAAACTGGGCGGATGCGAGACAGTTCAACCAAATTTAAGACGCACCTGAGACATAGCAGTAGTCTTCCTCCTCGCGCTCTGGACAGGCACGCGCTCCAGACGTGTCGCAAAGGCCAACACAAGCTTGTCGGCGAGGGCGAGGGGGCTGGCTTCAAATTTTAAATTATCCGTGTGGTACACACACAACCTTTGCATACCGCGTCTCCCCCATTTTCTGACTCTTCATGGTTGCATTTTCTTCCCGTGTTGTTGCCTCTGAGCGGCGGGACCCTCGAACGCTCCGAATGACGAAGGTTGCCTGCTCTGCGTGCGCCATCATCGACGATGGCAGCAGCGCGTCGTTCCAGGCGGGATCTCACCGATGACGTGCAGGGGAGCAGTGGCGGCTCCGGTGCCGAGGCAGCAGCCTCGCCAGTGGAAGATGCCGTTGCCGCCAACGTCCTGGAGCACTACATACGCTTTCGCTCCAAGGCCGAGGACGCGAGCTTCAAGGGATGGCTCGAGCTGCTGGAGCTCACCATGCCCAAGCTAGAGGTGAGGATCATGATCCTTGCTATGCTTGTGCTGTTATTTCCACCCTTTCCCTCGTGTTGCACTCCTGGTTTTGCTGGTTTTGTGATACGATCATTTTTCAAGTCTTCACGTCGGATGTTGTTTGCGCTTACCGAAATACCGTCCGTTCATCATGTTTCCCATCCAGCCCGATTGATCCACCGCCCTCGCCTTCACACCCATGCCTCGTGCATGACCATGACAGCTCATGTCAATAGCTATCACCCACAAACACACACACCTCGATGAAGCCCATTACCTGCTACTGGTATCCGCGCATCCTACCTTTTCCTGGCGAGAGTACCGGGGGCACTCTCATCTTGATGTACATACAACACATTGCTTGCTCCGCGAAGCCCCGAGATCCTCCTGCCAGGTGCACAGCGTGGAACTGCTGTACAAGTAGTTGCGTTGTGCATCGCCGAATGTTACGTTACCACATGTACGTAGTGGGCCACATTTTATGCTATGCTATTTCCTTAAATATGATCAAGGCTGTCCCCAACAAATTGCCGGCTTTTTTTGGCAGTCCGGCTACGGCACGGGATCCACCCATACTTCACCTTTCGGCTATTCATGCTGTGTCGGTGCCTCATGTCTGATGTTTTATCCCAAACTTTCGTAAATACTAGTAAATCGAGTTTCGATAGCCATTAGTCGAAATCCCGAATGCGAACGTCTCCGTGAAGTCTTCCTGCATGGGCAAATCCACTGCTTGGATATAACGCTTCTCCTGCTCCCTCCGGTCTGGATCTCGCGGACGCTTAGCGCAGGAGGCCCCCCCGTGTATCATGGGGCCTACATACCGCTGGGCTACCCTTCTCGTCTTCCACCCCACTAGTTCCATAAGGGCTTCTACGGCCGTCTCCGCGAGGGACTGGCTTAAGAGCTCCTCCTACCCTTAAGGAGTGCATAGTATACAAGCCGTGGCGGTCGTTCAAACGGCCTTCCCGCGTGTGACTTTGCAGAGCCGCTGTCATTCGAACTGCGGTCCACTGTGACGTCCCCCTCGAGCCATCTCCCTGGATCTCGGGAAACAGGTACCCCTGACGCATATTCCAACCCACGGACTTCGCGACGATGAAAAACTCTTGTACCGCTCGGACTGGACACAGTTTATCACACTTTTTATCCCTTTTAGCAACGACTGCGTGTGACGAAGTGCGGAGCGTCTTGCCAAAGTGAAGGTTGAAAATCATTCCTTGGCCTTCTGGGAGGCGCAACACCTGTGCTGCTAATGCGCATGCCAAATCGAATCCCCGCTGCATCGTGTGGAAGGCGACTGCAAACGCCGCGACGTCTCTACTGCGAGCCACTCGCTCACCCACGGTGTGTAGCTGGTCTGCGGTGTTGCGCATGTGCCGTACGAGGCGCAAAAGGAGCGGGGCCGACATGGGCCTGGCTTGTTTGACGGTAACTCCCGCCCGGCGCTGTTCGGTTTGGGCGTACGATAGGTACCGACGAACAGCCGCGCTGTCGGCCGCATTACCTCGCTTCTCCCTGTCGTCCCACGGATCAGACTTTCCTAATGTCTCGACCATGGCTCTCTTGAGTTTCGCGACGAATCCTTTGTCCAATGTTTGGGCCGCATATCTCTTCGCACACGTATTGCCCGGACTACAGGACTCCAACGAATTTGACCCGATCGCGACACAATCGACTGCATGAACCACCTTCGTGCCGTTACCGTGAGAATCCAATCAGCACAACCAGTCAAGTACGTCGGCGTCGGTGGCGCCCGCCCCCGACGCCCTTTTGTGTGTGCTCTCAGAAACACGTCGAACATATCCGCCACGGCGGATTTCCGGCGTTGCCCAGCTGTAGTCGCGGAGGCGAGCTGGACGGCTTCTTCGCGTGCCGCCAGTCGATCGGCATCCATTACCACGGTGGCCCCGGGAACACGCGGCTCTAAAAGCCCCCGAAACGGCTGTACCGCGCAATGTTGACAAAAGTTGAACGTCGCTTCGTTTTGTGC